GCATGACAGTTATATTTATTTCAGACCCTTTGATCAGTTTTAGCTGTTATCATATCGAAATGCATTACTAAAATTAAGAACAAGCACACACAAGCTTGAAATTGAAAAGGGCAGGTACACACACCCTAAAACACCACTGAATGAAAGAAAGTGCAAACAGTGCAACATGAATGTGATTGAGGATGAATTCCACTTTCTCATGACTTGTCCAAAATATGGAAACTTGCGCCAACAACTTATGTCTGAATTTAATTTTCTATCACATGATGCACACAATACATTCATTCGAATTGCTCAGTGCAGATGAATGTGAAGTTATAAAAAAGGTTTCCCAGTTTATTTACAAAGCCTTTCAAGAAAGAATAGATTCCGGTACTTGATAGTTTTGAATTTTATTATTATTAGTCTTAGTTTTATTATTATTAAACTTATTAGTATTAGTATCAAATTTAACACATTACATTTTACTTTTATACTTTATAACATCTTCTCTTTCTATATTATTTCATTATTATTATACCTTTTTATACTTTTATTGCTACTGTACTGATCGAAATACTGTATTTCTAAAGATGCAATAAATATTATTATTATTATTATCGGATGTAATTTCATTTGCGCTTGATTGCATGCTGATGTGTGGGCATGTGGATGATCTGTCATTTATGTTAAAGGAAAGGTCAAGGCAGTCACTATTCAAAATATATGCTATTGTACTTATTTGTAAAAAAAAAAAAAATGTTATGATCATTGTAAAATACAAAGTCGTGTATTGCCTGATCCTATCTGAGCGCTGACATGTAATGGCTTTCCCTATCTGAGCACTGCCATCTTGGCAGAAATCTAGCACCACCATAAGTCAATTTGGCAGAAAGGATGCCAGGTAATCATGACGTTAAAAATTTAAATAGCTTTGATGGTCAAAGACTTTAGCTTGCGTACATTAAGTCTCCAAGGACCACTTCAAGTCAGAAGATTTTCGTGGAAACCCTGCATTCTTAGATTTGGTTGGATTAAAACAGATCAAACGATTAAAGCCAGAAGCTGCTCCTATATACCACCTGGCTAATTCAGAGATGATGTCCATGTCAGTGACAGGAGCACGTGACACAAATGAAAGACAGGAAAAGACCCAGGTACATTATTTTCTATACATTTATTTCATTATTTTATCATATACATATATTATTTTATTATTGGATATGCCTATATTTTTGACATGGAAAACAAGTTGTTTTGGTTCTAATTTTAGTTGTTTTAGGAGCTAGAAATGATGAATGAGTTGAAGATGAGTGCCACATTTGTCACTGAATATTTTATTCATAGGATTTAAATTTCAAACTAATCACAAAATAGGCATTGAATGTTCAACATTATAACCTTCAGAAGTATTATTTAATTTTTCTTGTGGAAATTCCTGTATCCTTTGTTTTTGCTGTGCCTTTTCAAATCTGTTTTCACATTTCGAAATAAATTTTTTGAGTTGATTGTTTTGCATATAAATTCAGTCTGTTGATTTGTTTATGTATGAAATCAAAGCCAGGGATTGCCTCAATCAATCATAAAAACAAAGAATATAAACATAGCATTTCAATATAGTGAAAGTACAGAAAATAAGTGATGCACACCAGAAAATTATTATTAGTCATTACAGTTTTTTTTACAGATGGTTGTACTGATTGATAACTTGGTGAAGAAACAGAAAACTTATTTATCACAGACAATTACCTTCCAGGTAAGAATAGTTCACAACTTCATCAACAAATTACAACCCCCCACCCTCCTTTACAGGTATATATTATTATAGTAATGGTAATGAAAATGTTAAATTACTTGTGACATTCAGTAAGTATAATTGTCATATATTGATGAATATACCAAAGTGTATGGGTCTTGATGACAGGGGTTTGTTGTACTAACTGATTTGACATTTATTACAACAATAATCACAATATCAAGGTCAGCATTCCAATTTAAGTCATAAATAAAATAAATGCTGCACATTATGTCTTATGATGTATTGTTTTATTTTACATAGATCAAATCACAAACGTACAGAACTGTGGATGTACAAGCAGACTTCCAGTCAGCTGTTGAATTTCTCTACCACTGCTTTACATGTAAAGATTGACCACTCATATGTGAAGCTCTTTTCAGCATGTACTGAGACTACAATCTCCTGCAGTCATAAACATCAGAGAAGAAGACACCAATCAACACCAGCTTAGTTCTCCACTTGATTTTTCAATGGATGAAGCAGATGAACATAAAAGCACAATGGACAACTCCATAATTTCAAAACATGCTAAAGATGATTGATATCACAGTGATTCTGAAAGCAAAGATGAGTTGATCAAAGAATGACGATGTACAAAGCTTAACACAGAAGTGTGTGAACAAAAGAAAATTATCATCCACCACCTTGTCCCAAAGAAACAAAGAAAAATCATCAATGGGTCCCATCTATCAGTAAATCTTGTCTGCTTTAGAGGCTATACTATTCTATAGTGATCAATACAGCCATTGATTGACCGGTCGGTAGAGCTCCACTGTAATTGACAAGTACAGAGGTACAGAGAAGTGGAATCTATGGCAGTATGACAGTTTTGTGATTGTGGCAATGGTCACTGGAAGGGCATATCCTGTAAGAGGAAATGCATTTGTGTATGTAATGCATGGATATGTATAATTGATGATGTGGATGTACAGGAAATTAAAGCTGAAACATGAAGTTGTTGTCAGTATTACCAGATAGCTTTGAACTTTCCTTGAAAGATCTTGACGGTGGGGGTGACCACCTGACCACCAATACACATGCACTCAACATGTGACCTTGAAATGACACTGACCTTGGGCTTTGAGATGATCCTGACCCAGCCTTGGAAAACATTGGCCCATCCAGTTCATTTTCCAAGACAATGTGTACTGAGAAAGCCTGACTTCCAACTAATACAGTTTCTTACTGGAGTCCATGCATTATACATAGCCAATATACATAACAAAAAATGGAGATATCTCCACTGAATGGAGAAACTTGAGAGAGGACCAGTCCATATGTCAACATTATAAATTTCAAAACAATGTGGTAGGCGGTTTTGGAGAAGACACTTGACACATGCGTATGGTGCCATGAAAATAATCATTATGAGTGTAATCAATGTCAACAACATTCATGCCAAAGTAGACAAGCAGTAGAGGAAAAAAATCACTTTTAACCAAAAAATGTCATAAAATGAACAAATCTGACAACGGACTATCCCAGGTAGGTATGAATAGCAAAGCAATTCAGCTGACAGTTTGGGAGAATGACAAAAGTTGATGAACGGCATACAACGGACGGATGACGACAGTTGTATTCAACCCATGAGCTCCACTTGGTCATCTTCAATGACAGCGGAACTAAAAAAGTTAACATTGCCCCCCAAGAAAAAAGGATGTGAAGAAATATCCCGCTAGATAAAGGTCATAATCAATCATCTGTGGTGGGTAACTCAGCACTGGGGATGATGAGTGGCTCGTGGAGAGTTGGAAGTTATTACATATGTAATAAGCATGACTTTCCCGGTGCTAAAGTGATAAGTTGTTTCTGCCCAACTCTGTTTGAAACAGGAAAGAAAGAAGAAGTGGCTGAAGCGATAAGTAAAGTTTACTGAGCACTGAAAACTGATCAGTGCAGTGCTGGTAACCATGAGTCGTGTATAAATTAATTAGGCATTTTGCATACCAAAAAAAACAGTGATGTTACAATCATTCGATAAGAAAATGGTTTACCCAAAGTGAATAATGTGCAAAAAACATGTGTTGGGTTCTATAACAGCCAACTTGAGGTCACAATGTTTTAATGATTTATTTACAATTTGTCAGTAGCTCTCACAGGGAAAGAAAGTCAGACAAAATCAAAATTAAATAATATAATTGATTGTTGAAAGATTTTTTGGAAACATTGAATATCACATCACAACTTATTGCCTGTATCCGAAGATAAGTACATGAAATGTTTGACTACCTTGGTCGAGCTGACCTGTATTTACATTCC